TTTTTTTATGAAAAACAACAGTGTAAACTACAGACACAAATACATAGAAGAAATAAATAATTTCTCTCTCGAGTTGTATACATGGCACTGTAATGATTCCTGGAATTAAATTAAATGTTTCACATAAGGACGTGCCTGTTTTCATCAGAAAATAATTCTTACAGAGGTGTGATTTCTCATACAGGCAGTGCTCATTTTCTTGTAAAGCATAACCTGCATAGACATAGACAGTTCAAAGCTTTGTCTTTCCCCCTTATTCCCCTACACACCCAAAGGAGGCTCCATAGTTGAGACCTTTGTTTTGGTCTTGTCAGTGTGCCAATACACTCTTTTCTCCTATCTAACAACCTCTGTCTGTGACATTGCAACTTAGCAACATAAACCTTAGAAACACATGACTGAATAGCCAACATTGAAAACAGCCTTTCAAACTAACATCACGTTTATAATCAGCTGGAAAATGTTTAAAAAAACAAATTCGGGTTATAAAAAAATAATCTCAGTGGCTCAGACCTCTGTTGGTTGTTATTTGACTGCTCTTTCTCTAGAGGCACCTTCCAACATTTGATTTACCTTAGAGAATCAGCAGTTTAATACGAGTAAGAACTTCTCCTAAGCACCTGAGATACGCAAGATACTATATAACAGCACGAAAATGAATTAATTTGTCACTGAGCTATTAGGCAACTCTGAAATGCTGCTTCTGAACATAGTACTGGTTGCACTGCTGATAAGTGCAGAGGAGCCAGTCTGCAGGCTGCAGGACAGAGAAAAACTACCCGAGCTATCTAAAGATGGTGATATCATTATTGGAGGAATATTTTCATTCCGTACTGGGATAGACAGTGAACTTTACTCCTTTGAGACAAAGCCACAACCTTCACAATGCAAAAAGTAAGTACAGTGCTGAAAATTGATGTTCACATTCTGTCCTAATGCCTGTACTTGAGTTTTATTTGAGGAATTGTTTGTATTTCGCCATTGCATCTACAGTATCTATCAGGTCACAGCTTACCGCTAATGCAATCTTAAGATTACTGTACTATGAAGAAACTGCATAATGATTGCTATAATTGATTAAACTTCTTCAGCTTAAATTTCAGAGAATTTCGATTTGCTCAGACAATGATCTTCACAATAGAGGAAATAAATAAAAACACAGAAATTCTCCCAGAGGTTTCCCTTGGCTATAAGATTTATAATGACTGCGGTTCTATGAACATACTAAGAGCTGCAATGGCCCTGATGAGTGGACTAGAAGAAACAGCCAGCAACAGGTCCTGTTCTAAACCAGTCCAGGCTATAATTGGGCACTCTGGATCCACGCCGACAATTGGATTTGCAAGAATTACTGGACGGTTTCAGATACCAGTGGTAAGAAACACTCATTGTTTTTACCTCACCAATAGTGCATTACAGGAATTAACTGTCACAAGAACAAAGCATCCTAAGAAAATCAAATAATTGTCTCAAATTCAATTTGGGAAAGACAATCACCAGAATTCTGTTATGCTGAGCTGTAATCATTAAAGTAACAATTATTTGTCCATTTAAATTAACTAGTGTAGTAAGTTTACATGTCAAATTTTACAGTGCTTTGCATACTTCCTTTCCACATAGATCAGTCACTTTGCTACCTGTGCTTGCCTGAGCAACAGAAAGGAGTTCCCTTCATTCTTCAGAACCATCCCCAGTGACTATTATCAGAGCAGAGCCCTGGCGCAGCTCGTCAAGCACTTCGGATGGACCTGGGTCGGGGCAGTCAGTGGTGACAATGATTATGGGAACAGTGGGATGGCAACATTCGTACAGGCTGCCCAAGAGGAGGGAGTGTGTGTTGAGTATTCAGAGGCATTTCTCAGGACAGGGCCCCACCACAAGCTGCTCAGAATAGTGAACATTATAAAGCACTCCACCTCCAAAGTCATTGTAGCCTTCATGTCCCACATTGAAATTAACGTTCTGGTCGAGGAAATGCTTCGCCAAAATATCACAGGTGTGCAGTGGATAGGCAGTGATGCCTGGATCACAGAGAATTCTGTTGTAGCAGGGGGAGGCTATAAGCTTCTCAGGGGTGCAATGGGCTTTGCAGTCAGCAAGACAGAAATCCCAGGTCTGAATGACTTTTTACAGGATCTCCGTCCCACTCAGTCTTCTAGCGGAGCATTTCTGAGGGAATTTTGGGAAACTGTTTTTAACTGCACTTTTTCAATCCATGGCATGGAGTATGAGAATAAAAAGCCATGCAATGGGTCTGAAGACCTAAGAGACGTGGACAACCAGCTGACTGGTATGTCTGAGCTGAGATTCTCCAATAACGTCTACAAAGCTGTGTACGCTGTGGCACACGCGCTGCACAGCCTGTATGTGTGTGAAGACAGCCACGGTCCCTTCACCAACAACACCTGTGCAAGTAGGACACAGATACAGCCGTGGCAGGTAAGAAATATCAGCTATGGCAGTTCACAATTGCTTTAAGATATAAAATTAGATCTTTTTAAATCATAATTTGTGGCAAATAATTTGGTTCCGGAATACTTGTGAAATAATCTCGCATAACACTTTGCTAAATGTCTTTCTGCAATATCTGTGAAATTCTCCACTTTGACTGCTACAGTGCTGGCAACAACCATAATTTTGTAAGGATAGTGAATACACTAAGTCTAGAGGCAAACACGCTGAATGATTATACAGGTCTGTAACTGCATTTCATCAGTGATAAACTGTTGTTTCAGGTGTTGCATTACCTGCAAACAGTGAATTTTACAACTACATATGGAGAGAGAGTGTTTTTTGACTATAATGGAGACCCACCAGCAAGGTATGAGTTAATAAACTTACAAAGCAATGCAGAAGGACACACCGAATTTGTCAATATTGGTTACTATGACACATCTCGGCCAAAAGGACAACAGTTCATAATGAACAATGTTAATATCGTTTGGGGAGGTGGCTGGGATAAGGTGAGATTTTTTTCCTCTAACATCAAATGTGATTTGTCGTAGATATTTTCCATATTATGTTAAAAGTGTGTTTTTGCATAAATTGAATGGAAAAACAATGATAAATTAATGAATGAATTAATGGAAACTATTTCAAGCCCTTCATCTGCTAATTAAAGAATGAGCCTAGACTTAGTAAAAAAAAATACATCACCATATCACTGTTTTATTTCCAGGCATCTTTATATGCCTGTGCATGAGACACTTATTTTTAAGCATGGAAAAACATTTTACTATTTTTAATAAATTCTAATTTCAAGGTGCCTGTGTCAGTGTGCAGTGAGAGCTGTCCTCCAGGCACTCGGAAGGCTGTTCAGAAGGGAAGGCCTGTCTGCTGCTTTGACTGTGTACCATGTGCTGAAGGAGAGGTCAGCAACATAACGGGTAAACATAATATACGTTTTCATCACTTCTAAACAAGTTTCATTTTCATCTTCTTCTAAATTCTAAATGATAATTATTCAAGGAAAACAAGAGAACTTTTCAATGCTTTTTACACAATATACTGTAGACATACAGTAAATGCACTTCTCACAAGTACTATAGGAATTAAAACTGTATATGAATGTATTATTCATTCTTAGAGTTCTCGTGTATATTGTATGCATAAACTGTTATTATAATTGCTCTTACTGTAAATATTTCTGAGACTAATCTTTCATACATCACTGGAACCTCAGCTCTTTTTTGAATATAATTAAAAAATGTCCTTAAAATATCTATTGTTACTTTATGTTCTCAGTTATACCACTGACAATTATTAATTAAGTGTGGAAAGAAATACCATTTCTCTTCTGTGCAGAACAAGTAAACAAAATGGCTATATGAATTCTGTTTACAAGGCAGTATATTTACATATAAAAGAATAAAGATTTGTATATACTGTAGAATCATACAACCACAAATCTTTAACACTACTCCTTTTTACTTTAAATGCTGAAATACTAGCCCACACTTGCTTATAATACCGTACACACAAAATTAAAAATTGTGCACAGAGAAAACCATTGTATATACCAGAATAAATTAAATACTCATGTATACATTGAAAAGTTCACTAACTAAAACTTTGTTTTTAATCCAGATTCGATTGGCTGTGTGAAGTGTCCTCTTGAATACTGGTCCAATGCTAAAAGGGATGAATGCATCTATAATGAGCCAGAATTCTTGTCGTACAGAGAAACAATGGGAATATTGTTGGTGTTGTTTTCAATAACAGGCACTTGCCTTACAATAATTACAGTTATAATATTTTATTGTTACAGAGACACTCCACTTGTAAGAGCCAATAACTCTGAACTGAGTTTCCTTCTGCTCTTTTCATTGACACTGTGTTTCCTCTGTTCACTTACTTTCATCGGCCAGCCCTCTGACTGGTCCTGTATGTTGCGCCACACCGCATTTGGGATCACATTTGTCCTGTGCATCTCTTGTGTTCTGGGCAAAACAATAGTGGTGTTAATGGCCTTTAGGGCTACACTGCCAGGCAATAACATTATGAAATGGTTTGGTCCCACACAGCAGCGGTTAAGTGTTCTGGGTTTCACACTTGTGCAGGTCTTAATTTGTGTTCTTTGGTTAACAATATCACCTCCTTTTCCAAATAGGAACATGAAATACTACAGAGAAAAAATAATTCTGGAGTGTGACCTGGGATCTGCAGGTGCATTCTGGGCTGTGTTAGGGTATATAGGATTCCTCTCTGCCATGTGCTTTGTGCTCGCTTTCCTGGCTCGAAATCTGCCTGATAACTTCAATGAAGCCAAATTCATTACATTCAGCATGCTCATATTCTGTGCTGTCTGGATCACCTTTATCCCAGCTTATATCAGCTCCCCTGGGAAGTTCACAGTAGCTGTGGAAATATTTGCTATTTTAGCTTCTAGTTATGGTTTGCTGTTCTGTATTTTTATACCAAAATGTTATGTTATATTACTCTATCCTGAGAAAAATACAAAAAGGCATTTAATGGGTAAAATATCCAAGTGATCAAAGTGCGGCTTTTATTAAAATTATTTCACTAAAGGTTTTATTCCTTAATGTATGAGATTAACTAATGTAAACATCCTAAAGCTGCCTACCTCATACAAATTGACATGCAGTACACAATCTAAAGATTGTCAAATGATTCAGATACCTGTTAAATGTTAAAACTGACTTGTACAGTAACAATGATGTTTAAAACAGTAAGACATCAGTCCTAACTGATGAACTAACCTACCACCTGCTGGTGGAGATTAGAGCAGGTTTACCTTGCAGGTGTTTTTTTTTTTTGCTTTACCATAGGGAATTCCCCTGGCTTCATTCAATTAAGCTGCTGGTCTAAAATAAACACAGCTGGTTTATCACAGGATTGGTTTCATTGTGGAATATTTTTTCATCTCAAATAAAGGCAATAGGTTTTTTTTTTTGACTTTTTAAAATTCTGCCTTAAGCTGCATATACAGTAGATATACTGTCATTTAACATAAATCCTCCTATACTGACTTCCTTAGGTTTGTATAAGGCAAATTTTTATAACCTAGTCTTTTGCAGGCCCTTAATACCAAAAGTATAAAATATAAAGAAGAAAAAAGGTTTTCTACAACTACAACTGCTTTTATTTATTTGTTATTAATATTCTGTACTATACTGTACAATACAGCAACTACAGTACTGATTATATCATTATGGAAGTGTGTTTGAGTTTTGTTTCAGAAATATAAACCATTCAGTTAACGATAACCATCTTATTAAATAAAAATATAGTTAAATTTATCTAATAGCATCAGAATATGGTAAAAAACCTTAACTACAGGAAACTAACCATTGGAAAACAGAGGGATCGTCAAATTAATTTAATAATACTAATAAAAAGAATGCAAATTAGGAAGAGGAAAACAGGAAGTAAAATCCATATAACTTTTTCCTTTAAAATGAAAATACGACTTTGAGAGGTAATATACAGAAAAAATACACCTGATACGCTAAAAAGGCAGAAAGAAGAAAAAGAAAGGCACAAAGGCCTGCAGGTTCTTCTTTTTCAAAACCAACATAATAAAATAGGCAGTGAGCTACAGTATATCTATATTCTATTAAATATATACAATATATATACAGTACAATTGTGAGAAAAACTGTATTATCCAACACTGACATGTTGAAAATAGTATCTCCAAATGAATCAGTGTGCACGGTATCAAAGCTTTGGACTGGATTAGAAATTAAACTATTTCTGAAGGCCACGCTTCTACCATGATATATCAGATGTATGCCTACATACAACCGCTTTCCAGCTGTATTTCTTCCACCCAGAAAGGCCCTGTAACAAAATTATCAATGCTGATTTCACAAATATACTGTACGATAATTTTTTCTACAAAGTTTTGGCTATCATATAGTAACAAGTAAGTGGAAACTATTAATAATCTATTTCTTTGTGCTGAACATTATTACAAAACATACAGTTCAAGATATAATTAAAATTGGCTAAATGTTTTCCACTAATTACAGAACTTTGTGTTACCTTTAAAATTAAGAGATTGTTTCCAAGACAGGACAGTATTTGATACAAGGTGAGAAATATGTACAGTTGTTATGCCTAAACAGCATAATGGACAGCAATACAAAACTCAGAAAATAAAATATTATACAAGAATTATACAAATGTAAAGAAAGGTGGCAGAAACATTTGGGAGTCCACCAAAGTACAGAAAGGTCAATAGCTGAAAATGTTAGCAAGACCAAGAAAACAAACAAGAAAAATCTCTAATGGCCTAATGTAAAAGATGGCCATAAAATCTCTTTTTGAATGACATAAAAAAGAAGCAGAACTGGTAAAGGTATCAGCTTGAAAGAGAGCAGTACAGTGATTCCAGAATTGATGGCACTTCTTTTTTTCCAAATTAACTTAAATTAAATCTTTGCAAACTAAATAAAAAAACTGTCATACTGGAGTGTGATCTGGGATCTGCAGGTGCATTTTGTGCTGTCCTAGGGTATATATTCCTCTCTGCCATGTGCTCACTTTCCTGGGCAAATTAATTACATTCATATTCTGTGCATATTTCCTTTTATTTATCAGCTCCCCTTAGAAGATCACTTTAGCAGTGGGAATATTTATTAATTAGCCTTTCATTTTGGGCTACTGTTCAGTTTCCAGAAGTTACATTATTATTTATAATTGAGAAGAATAAAAAGTTGGGTTATATGTCTTCAAAAGCTTTTTTGCCAGAAAAATATACTTTAAATATGCTCCACATAAATTTGATATTTAATTAGGGTAATATGAGCAAAACCGATTCAGCTCCTTTACTTTTGACCACCATGGAAATCACTGCTTTAAAAAATCTCACAGTTGAAGCATTGTGGGAGGATTGTTACATACATTCAGTGTCCTATATAAAATAAATGTTGTTATTAAAATTGCATAATGCTTTGTAAAATAGAACATAATCTGCAGTTACTACAATGTAAAACATATGTTACTTTCACTGAAAAATATTTTAAGAAATGGGCAAGTTATGTTTATGTAATAATTGTGGAAAAATTCAGTCTACTTCTGGCCCCTGGAGCAAAGAAGTGAAGCTGGCCTTAACTTTCACAAGCCTAGTACTTTCTCTTTGCCCTGTAACTAACCCCAGGCTACATGCGCAGAACCTACCCGTGGCTCTAATCAATATTATTCCTGGAAAATCAAACAGATTTAGCAAACATCTTTTACCAAAAGTCATATTCCTCTTTTGAATGTTGGCTGACATTATCAGCAAAGAGAGGAATAACAATTAACTCACAATAATCAATACATAGTGTTATATTTGATGTACTACTGCTTGAGCTGTGAATTGCTAAAAAGATGGATTCATGTAGTGATGTGGAATATTTTATCAAGCTGATGAACAAAGTAGAAAGTCGGCATTTTGTTTGGACTGAAAACCGAAATGAAATGCCTTGTATATACTGAAAGCTAAGCTCAGCAGCCAAAATGCAAAATCCAATAATGATTCTATGCATCATTTAAGAATAAACCTTAGCATGGCAGCAAAAGAGTCATGAATCAAATTCATACAGTACCCCATGTTGATAAAACATATATTTTACCCATATGTGATGATGAACATTTCCACAGAAAGGTCTATCTTTTGAAAGTGCAATGTGTACAGTTACATGATAATTGCAATTAAGACCACGGCCTACTAGTTCAAAGAACATGATACAGCTAGCACATGTTAGTTCACATTTTAAAATCAACTGGGAAATTAAATAAATTAAAAAACAACAACTTCGAAATAACAAGAATAGCACGCATATCCTCCATGGTTCAGTGGATTGTAATTCGGCTGTTCTCTGGAGGCACCTTCCAACATTCAATTCACCTTGGAGACTCATCGATTTGAAGAAAATAGTTAAGAAACATAAGCACCTACAATACCCGTGATGCTATATAATGGCAAAAAGCACAGCGTTGTGTCATTGAAAGGGTTAGGCTACTCTGAAATGCTGCTTCCTGCCGTAGTTCTGATCGCACTGCTGATAAGAGCAGAGGAGCCAGTCTGCAGACTGCAGGACAAAGAAGAACTACCCGAGTTATCAAACCATGAGGAAGGCATTATTGGAGGACTATGCAGATTTCACATTGGGCTGGACTGTGAACCATGCACCTTTGAAATAATACCTGTTCCTCCAACTAAGAAGCAGTAAGTATGCTCATATAACCAGTATTATAGCATCATTAGACTTAATTTATACATAGCGCTATTTATCAGCAATACATTTTGCTATATTGTCTAGCAGAATACCATAAACAGTTTGCCTGTATACTCTCTTGTCTCTAAGTGTTTTAATTTAGCATCTTACATGTATATTATTACATGAAGTACAAGAGGGTACTCTAGCTGCGTCAGCATGCGTAGGCTGCAAAGGAACAAGTAAAGGTTGTGTCACACCTGAAGAAGGCTCCACACCCGAAACTTCATGTTTCTTTTCTTCTCATTTTTAGCATGGACTAAACCTTAACCTATTCCTGTATTATTACATAA